AATGGTCGCCCACCGAGATATCCCTCCACATCAATCTCCTCAAGCTGAGAGTGGTTAGAAATGCCTGTACCCATTTCCTCCTACTTATCTCGCGCACACACACACACACACACACACACACAGATCCTGAGACAACGTTGCCTGTATGTACTACATCAATTGGCAAAGGGGAGCCAGATCACCTTTCTTTGTGCAGAAACAATGAGATTATAGAATTGGAAATCTCACACAACATTACACTGTCTGCAGTGTACCTCCGGGTACACAAAACTCGGTAGTGGACAGTATCAGTTGCAAATTCCCACACGAACATGAGTGGGAGATGCTTAGGTACTTCATGACCTATTCAGATGATGGGGGACACTGTCTACAGATTTGTTCGCCATTCAGCTGAACAAGAAGTGTCCATGCTACTGCTCCAGACCGGAGATGGGATAACATTCCTTAGTTGATGCTCTCTGTTAGAGAGCTTATTCCTTCACTCTCCCACTTCCCTGGTCCTTCTCACATGAACAGAGAGCAACAATACCCAAAGTCCGAAGGTGCAAACAATTCAATGTTTGTTGGGGTGAACTTTCAGCAAGCTTAAATCCAAGTTCCTTTTTCCTTATTTTCGAATCCCAACTTACTTCCTGTTTGCCCCTAATTTATATAGTAATATTCTTAGCTATACCTTAACCAATCATTCTACTGAAATTTAACTAACCAATCCTAACATATTGTAACATGATTAGCGAACCAATTATATCCCACCACCTTAATTGGTTTACACCCAGCAAAATTAATTATACAGCAGACAGAAACAATCACAGAACCAGACAGAGACCCTGCCAATAAACAATAGCAAAGTGGGAACTATAATGACAAAACAATACAGAAGTGAGGATTTCACAATTACATCTATAAAGACATAAGGGTTTCCCAGCTGTGTCTATTGATAAGTGAGTTCTTACCAGACAGAAAACTATCAACCTAAATTTCCTTTTACATCTTCTAGGTTCTTCCCTTTCTCTGGAGGTGATAGATCGGATCACCTTCCTAACAGCCCCATATTGACTAGTTTGGAATGTGAGGATGTGACCGTACGCTTCCCAGCTTATGGCTGCCTCTGCTGCTTAGCCAAAGGCATTGGCCTAAGAACAGGGCCTCAGACTGTCACAGTGAGAGAAGGCCCTTACACAGATTCTTTCTTGTATACCGCTATTACTAGCTAAATGATAAACATATACCTACATTCTTAGAGTATAGGCCTTTACAGACAGGCCTGAATATCTATATTCTAACACTCTACCCCTTTTTTTTCTTTTGGGATCCTCCTGCCCAGGTATCCCTGGAAAAGCATAGGACATATGGCGACACACTTTCTGACAGGGCCAAGCATCAAGGTGGAAGGTGTTGATGTTCCATCTGTCCCACTGCCCCTTGTGTAGTACCATGCACTGCACCTTCTCTCGTACGGTCATACTACACCTATTCCAACTAGTGTTCCAGACTTTCCAGTATAGTGGGAGAAGGTTGGGTCCAGGTTGTCTAGTACACTACAGGGGCTTACTACATTACTTACAGGTTATAATTAGTGGCTGTTCTCTAGGGGGTTGTGCCCCCCTTGATTGTTTCCATATGCAATGTAACACACATATAGTTAACAATACACCAGCTGCTATGATAATCCACGGCAACACCAAGAGTCCTGACCACTGCAGTATGATCCAGCATCCTGGCCACCACCAAAAACACTGCTTCTCCTTTGATAAGGTTAAAATTTTGTCAGCACCATCCTGTAGTGTGTATTGTAAGTGTGGCCAACTGTTGGCGCTTGCAGCAAGTTGCTCTTGTAATTTTTGTGTACTTTTGTCCATTTTGTGTGTCCATTGAATATCCACAGTGAAATTTGGTATTGTCCAAACCAATTCAACTACCTGGTACGGTATGGGATAGTAGGTGCTAGTTCGATTGTTTACAACGATTAAGTCCACTGATCCATTGGTGCACCATAGTCCAGGTGGCAGTTTATAGAAGTTCATAATTTGGTCATACACTGGAAGGATTTTGCCTCCTAGTGTTATATTGGAAGATTGCATACATTCCCAACAGAATACACCGTACCCCATATACATTACCCCTAAATGCCCCCCCTTTGCAATGGGCCATTGATCCTGCTCTTCCATAGTCATAGGAGAGGGGCACATCCATATTCCTCCTCTGGATATACAACTGCTTAGTGTGATGCAACTGCTCCAGACCGGAGATGGGATAACATTCCTTAGTTGATGCTCTCCTCCTCCCCTGGGACAGGGACCGTTTCTACATGTTCCCTCCATTTCCCCTACTGTCGAAGGTCCTGCTGAAAATAAAAAGGGATGGAGCTCGTGTCATTGCGTGTTTCTACTTGGCTGAGACAGATGTGGTACCCTTACCTCTCTCAGCTTGCAACATGTCTGCTGATCTCTCTCTTGGCCATTCCGCACCTCCTCTCACAGAGCAAAGGACGTACTCTACATTCCAAACTGGGAATTCTGTGCTTCAAAGCACGGCTCCTGTTTGGTTCTAACACCTAGAAAGCTTCTGTTCAAGAGACATGACGCACTTACCTGCAGAAATGGTCCAGGTTTCAGATTTGGTGCATGTCCCAACGAAGCTTCCCAGCATCTGCAGTTCTTTTACATATCCTAGACTATGCTTTAGTCCTAAAATGGTTCGGACTATCTCTAAGCTCTCTCAGCGTCCACCTAGTGGCTATTACAGCCTTTCACCAACCTGTAGGGGAGTACTCTGAACTGTCACACCCAACTACAAAAAGGTTCCTCAGTGACATAGTAAACTTATTCCCTCAACTTCAGCTTCCTGTCACCACATGGGACCTGAATCTTGTACTGAAAGGACTGACTAGGCTCCCCTTTGAACCATGGACACCTGTTCACTAACATACCTATCCTGGTAGTAGCGTTCCTGGTAGTGATTTTCTTGACCAGGAGAATAGGAGAGATAGCAGCTCTGATGGCACATCCTCCCTACATGGTATTCTTCCGGATAAGGTTATGCTCAGACTGCATCCAAAATTCATCCCTAAGGTAACCTCCTACTTTCACATGAATCAGTTGATTCACCTTCCAATCTTCAACTCCAAGCCTCATCAAGACAACAGGGAGGCTATATTGTGTACCTGGATGTCAGGAGAGCCCTGGCCTTCTACCTGGACAAGACAAAGATCTTCAGGAACTCCCCTAGGCTTTTCCTCTGCACAACGGAAAGTTCCAAAGGCTCAGCAATATCAGCCCAAAGACTTTCCAAGTGGGTCTCGAACTGTATCAGACATTGTTACCCAAGTTCATCATATGACCCCTCCAGATGCCATTCATACACACTCAACAAGGTCAATCTCCTCATCCGTTGCCTCCTTCAAGGATGTCATTATCTTAGAGATCTGGAGAGCGACAACATGAGCATCAGTCCACACTTTTGCAGATCACTGTGCCATCGCTGGGGACTCTGCCTTTGATGCCATCTTCTGCTCCATGGTGCTGTCATCTGTAATAGGCTCAACTCTGAAGTTCTGACCCTCCAGAAAGGATACTGCTTGGGAGTCACCTACAGTGGAACACCCATAGGGACACTACTGGAAGAAGAAATTATTCACCTTGTCCAGTAATGATGGTTCTTTGAGACCAGTGTTTCTATGAGTGCTCCACAACCCATCCTCCTTCCCTCTAGTTCTTGTGTTCTGTGCAGTAGAGAAGGAAATGGGGAGGGTTAGCCTGCATGCGCTGGCTAGTCTCATGGCACAGCACGAGAAAAGACCACATGTGCGGGCCCAATGGACACTGCTACCAAAGTTCTCCCATCAGCAGCACAGGGACACAAGCATACCTAAAGTGGAGCACCCACAGGGGGGACACATCTTGAAGAACCACTGTTACTGCATAAGGTGAGTAACTTCTTTGTCCTTTCTTCAGACAATGAAAATAAAATGGGGAAGACTCTGTACTCTTGGATGGCATTGTTAGCAGCTTAAAAGTTCTTCATAGTTCTCTTCAGATGTTGAGTCAACAGCATGCAGTAGGAAGGCATTTTTCCCTGTATGGATGCTTGTTAGACATTGTGATGTCCTTGGGTGAACATGAAATGGGTCATTTTACGTAAATATTAATTTAAATCTTTTTATTTTTCTCTTTCTGTACCATGTCATGGTGGACCTAAAAGTTTAAATCTGTCTGTAGTATATCCAAGGTGAAGTGCTTCAATCACTTCTTTAAATTGCTCATTGTGTGCGACATTAAAAGTGATATTGTCATAAAAATTGCAACTCTTATCAAGTTAAGTCTTTTGACTTTTAGTTCTGATGGTGTAATCACCAAATGAACCCCAGAAGTTGGCAAAGGATAAAGATGAGCAGGATCTACTCTTCGGTTAAGCTGCTGTGGAAGCTAGAAGGCCTGTAACAGAGACTTGATTTATCATTAGTGCTAGATTTTGATACCGATGGCACTGAAATTTTTCTTTTGCAGGATCATCATACCCACCAATACTCTGGTCTTCCACTTAGTTGATAATTTCATTCATTGGTGCATTTTATATTGAAGATGAATGCAAAGAAACAGACTTTCTGAAATGAGCCTGGATCCTTTCGGTGCTTACCAAAAACAAACTTTAATTTAGTACACTTTAGGCAAATGAGATTTTAATATTGCTGTGGAAAGAACATTGCAGTAATGCAGTTCTGCTTGCAGGATTCTAAAATAAAACAAGTTTAAAGAACTTAAAAGTAAATGTACATCTTCAGAACTTCATATTGCTGTGAAATGAGTTTATGTACAGTGTTGACTGAATTATGGATCTCTCATATTTATTAGACATAAAAAATCTACTATGTTTTATATTGTAAGCTTCTCTGGGTTACATATCCATGTGGTTGACTTGTACAATAAATTGCAGTCATGTAGCTACTAGAATTTTGAATTCACTGTTTTGTGAAGAAAAAGTTTAAATATTTTTCTTTTCAGCTCCATTTACCTCTCAATTCTCCTTTACCTGGAAGTGAATTGACTAAGGAACCTTTTCGTTGGGATCAGAGACTGTTTGCTTTAGTTCTGCGTTTGCCTGGCATCACAACTCCAGAATCAGAGCAGATAGCAGGTGTGCCTGTTGATGACTCAGCAATTACACCTATGTGTGAAGTCACAGGAGGTGAGTGCCTTAGCTTCACTTGACAAAGTAGATCTTTCAGAAAAGTGATCTAGCATATAGCTCAGTTGTATTAGATAGTGTTTGAAAATTTGACTCCTTTGTTTAATCTCTTTAAAACCCTGGGCACAATGGGGCTACGTGTTACAGCTTTCTTAGGACACATAAGTAGTAACATTACAAATAAATTCATCTGCTAATAGTCTTGAAAGAATGTGCATTTGCTTTCTTCAGCAATTTTGACTAGAAGGGGGAAAATATACTTTGTAGTGTAGACACTCAGCCAGAATTCTTAAGAATCATGAAATCTGTTAGGTAGTGAGATTGTGTTCAGTTTGCTGGCACTGGACATGCTAGCATTCGAAGGCCATAGGGTGTGTTTTCTTTTGAGAGCTTTTAAATATTTCTTAAATGAAGAACATTTTTGGACAAATGTCTGCACTTTCCCTTTTCCTCCACTGCCTCTCGTGTTCTTTTGTAATCTCTCATGGTTATCTCTCATTTAGATTGTAAACTTCTCTGATACAGTCTAGAAGTTAAGTCTTGTCTGTAGAGTACCATGAGCACACACCAAGTATTAAAAAAGAAAAAAGATCCTTTTGATAGTAATTGGGGTGGGAGAAGAGGGAGAAAAGGAAAGAATTTAAAGAAACTTCAAGTAGATGTGATCCCCACACTTCTCAGAATGTAAAGCAGATGCCTCAACCACTGGATTAAAAAGGCTTTTTGGGCCATTTAAAAGGTGTTGAAGTGTGCCACAAGGGGGAGCTCACATTCCAAGAGTTCAGTAGAGACCTTAAGTTAACAAGGAAAAAATCCTTAAAATGTAAAAGGCAATAAAGTTAAAATGAAGTATGTTTCTTAGTTGTTACCAAGATGCGTGCAGAACTTCATTAATGAAATCATTTAATAGACTCTCTTGCTGCTTCAACGAAGTAACATATGTTTTCTTTGTAACTTGTTTATATATTTCTCCATAACTAGATCAGCAAAGTTTCTTGTTCTTCCTTCTAGTTTCTTGATTAAGAATTAAAAGAGCTGAATGTCAGCAACTTGGCTAAGGGATGACTAAGAGGGGACATAAGTCTAAAATACTTGATAGGCATAATCTCGAAAGTAGAAGAGACAATACATAGTGATACACAGAGGTATAACTAGGAGTAATAAGATGCAATTACGGAAGGAAAAACATTTACAGATGTATTGGGCTGTGCAGTGTCTACCAAGGGAAGTTATGGATGCATCAGTGTTCCCTCTAATTTTTTACATCCATGTGTGGAATTAATTTTGTTATGTGCACCAATATGGAGGTGATGTGTGGTGGGGGTGGGGCTGAGGGGTTCGGAGTGTGGGAGGGGGCTCAGGGCTGGGGCAGAGGGGTGGGGTGCGGGTTCTGGGGTAGGGCTGGGGATGAGAGGATGGGGTATGGGAGGGGGCTCAGGGTTAGGTCAGAGGGTTGGGGAGTGGGGCAGTGTGGGCTCTGGGCAGGGGCAAGGGATCAGGAATGTGTGAGGGTGCTCAGGGCTGGGGCAGAGGGTTGGGTGCAGGGGGTGAGAGCTCCGGCTTGGGGTGAAGGCTCTGTGGTGGGGCCAGGGATGAGGGGTTTGGGGTGCAGGCTGCCCCGGGGCTGCGGTGGGGAGAGAGGACTCCCCCAGCCCTCTCTTGCTACAGCAGCTTGGGGCCAGGTGAGAGGGACCTCTCCCTGGCTGCGGCAGTTCCAGCTTGGTTGGGCTGGGCCAGAGAGAGGGGCTCCTCTCCCTGGCAGCTCTGGCCGGGCTGGGCTGGGCCAGGCTGGAGAAGGAGCTCCTCTCTGTGGCGGGCTGGGGGAGGGGCACCTCTCCACACGTGCAGGACCCTTGATAGCCTGCTGCACGGCTGTACAGCTTACAGGGAACTTAGGACACCCCCTTGGGAAAACAGACTTAAAATATAGTGTAGGAGACAATCCTGCATTGATGTGGACTGCATGACTTTATAAGTCTCTTTCCATTGGTATCTTGTATGATTTTATGTTCTGTTAAAATGCTCTAGTTGCACTATACCTTTTTAAAGGATTCAGTGCAATACTTAACAGTATTAGGGCAATACCTCAGGTTCCCCATCAGGAAGTAATAGAAGTACTCTTTTTATAGCTTTGAGACATTGATACACAGAGCACAGCAGGGCATTATTTGTCATTTGCCTCATTTTCTTACATTGACAACACAATCCTTACTTATATTGACAAACATAATCTATGAAGCAAAAAGAAAAGGAGGACTCGTGGCACCTTAGTGACTAACAAATTTATTTGTTAGTCACTAAGGTGCCACGAGTCCTCCTTTTCTTTTTGCGAATACAGACTAACACGGCTGCTACTCTGAAACCTATCATAATCTATGAAGACATCTTCTATTCTGTACACATAAAACTTGTTACTTTAAGTAATTGTATAGTTTGATACTTTTTTTATTTTTCTAATTACTATGTGGTTGGTTATACAGTAGTTACCAATAAGATATTTGCTAACAATAATCCACTAACATAGTATCTGAGGTACTACACTATTTCTTTATACAGGGTACTTCAGAATAGTATATAACTGCAGCTCCTCAAATATCATAACCTGGTAGATGTTGATATCTGGTGTTCTCTGAATGGCCACTGCTTTATAAACAAAAATACCTGCTTGCATGGGCAAAATAATTTTGAGAATGTAATAAACATGCAGCATACTGTCACTTTTAGAATACTTGTTACATTGGGAGAGGATGGTAGATGTCTTAAATTAAATACATTATAGCTAGACTTCTATTAAATGGATTAGTCTGAAAAAATTTCAAAGGTGAAGGGAGAAATATAAAATAGTAGACTTGGTCTTGAGACTTTTTCTTTCATTCTAGGTCGCTCATATTGTGTGTGTTCTCCAAAAATGCTGAATCAGTGTCTTGAGTCATTGGTTCAAAAAGTGCAAAGTGGAGTAGTAATAAATTTTGAAAAATCTGGACCAGATCCTTCACCGATTGAAGGTATTTGAAAAATTCTACATACTTTTATAACCAATTGGATTTGCATTTGGTATTCAAATTTAACAATAGCCAGAAATGTACATAGTTTAATTTGAAAGAAGCACTACAGTGTTAGACACCATTGTTCCTTTCTAATGTAATAATATGACCACATTCTTGAGTGGTTTAAATTTCTGTAGCTTTACTCCTTTTTTGTTCTAAATATGAATAACTTGCCTACTTCTTCTAGAACAAGTTCATGGAAAATACTAGCTTTTTTCTAACTCTGAAATGTTGTATATTAAAAGTTCATTCGTGTCATCTTCATGCACCAGGAAAATACTTGATTCGTCTAGTATTTGTGATAAGGAAAGGACACTTCAATTGAGTTCTGAAAGTACATCAGATAATAGAAGAACTGTTTTTTTTTCAGACTCCCATTCAGTAAGCATTCAACAGTGTTACTCAACTCTAAATTAGTTAGCATTCCTGCTGGAAATGCTAAAAATTACTTGGAAACTGGTATATACTATTGTTGTGGTTTCTAATATACTTTTAAGGATATCCCTCTTAAGGTGTATAAAAATCCTTGCACACTCCATTTAAAGTGTTTAAATAATTTGAAATACTATATAATTAAATATAGAGTTATGGAGGTAATTTTTTTTTTATAGATGGACAGATGGATATAGCTAGGTCTTTTGGACCCCAACCTTGGCACAGCTGTCACAAACTTATCTATGTCAGACCAAACCCTAAAACTGGAGTTCCCATAGGCCATTGGCCTGTTCCGGAATCCTTTTGGCCAGATCAAAATTCTCCAACATTGGTAAGTCCTTGAAGTGAGGGAAAAATCATTTAACTGTTTCCTGTTCATGGGTTTTAAATCCTGGGTTACCTGGTTCAAATATAAGCACTGTAAAGGAAATTCAGGCTAACGTCTGCTGCATTTCTTTTCAGAAACAGATGTTTCAACTGCTGTGAATAAGATACTGCGTGGCAATTAACATACTATGTTCATTGTGGAATAATTGCATAAGAGACATCTGCTTCTTTAAGAAACAAACTGCCTATAAGACTTTTATTGCTAACATCTGAGCACAATGCTGTGAACATTAAACATCTTACTTAAATGTATCTCTTTGGAGTTTGAACAGAGATCAAACTGAGAATTTTCCCTTAAGACACAATTTAGAATGCAAACAAAGATCCTAGAACTGATGCATGTTCGTCTCTTTATCATGTGAACTATCATATTTAACCATCCAAAAGACATACTATTGCTGGTTAGGGGCGGGGGGGGGCACTTCTATGTAAATATCTCCTAAATTGGGAAAAGGTAAAAGCTAGTGGTGACAGTGTTCTTTCAATGCAGAAGTGGCAGAGTTGGCCCGTATCTCCTGTTGTTCAGTGTAGCAGTGCTTCTAATCTACCACAAATAGAAACTTTACCTCACATTGTAAAAAGTCTTCACTTGCAATACATTAGTTTTCTTTGTGCTCTATTTAATTACGAATAAAAGGATGTACCCATGCCAATTTGTATTAGTAATGTAGTATAATATAACAGTCAACACTGATTGAAAATATTAGTTGAACTGATGTAATTTTGGGCTATTTCCTGCTTTATAAGAGGATCTTCACTTTAGTCTTTGTGCCCTACCTCTGATTTATTAAAGTTTACAAACTTTAAGGTGTTCTGTGCATTTGGCTTGCAGAGAACATGAAATGCTTCAACTGAGTATAGAAAATGGAAGACTAGTGTGGTGTGTGGGAGTATTTTATTCTTAAATTTAGTTCTTATTTAGTTTGTGTATATTCATTGTCTCATTGTGCCCAGTCCAGTAAGACATACACAGCCTTCTGAGCTGTATGGCAGGCTAGCCTATTCTGAAGAAAAATTAAACTCCTGCAACTGTTTAAAAAACAAACACCTCCTCCCCCCAAAAAAACAAACAAACAAAAAAAACCAACGTTGTGCACTTGGCTATTATGGAGCTGTTTTTTCATTCATCTGAGTCTGGACTTAACACAGTTTTATGAATTACTGCTCTAGGCCCGTGGTTCCCACGCTTTCTAGTAGTGCGGCTCTTTTAAAGATATTTCAAAACTTGGTGTCTCCCCTCAACCAAGTACCCCCCCCCTTTTTTTAAATAAAAACTTACTTGGGACAATAGAGTTCAGATGATTTTGAAACTTCATTAAACTACACACAGTTTAATTATATAATCTGATCTAATCTGGGTTTTTAAAACTAATTTGAAAATTTGGATTGCTTGGCATGTTTGGACACAGACTAATATTTTAGTGACAAGGATGGGTCTGTTAAATAAAAGTTCAACTATTGTACCTGCTTTGACCAATCTCGCATAACTATGGCCTGCTATGTCTTAACTGACTGCCTATCCAGTTTTTTTGCTGCCGCTGGTCAGAACCTCCAGGGCCTGGAACTTTCCTTTGATTCCTTCAATCTGTAATAAGTTAGCCATGGTGCCTTTTGTATATAGTTCCTGATAGTAAGTTTTAAATAGTTTTATAGTTTTTAGCAGTTTTGTAGTTAATTTCCCAACTTGGGGACCTTCTCTATCCCCATACCCCCTTGTGAGTACTGGGGAGAACTTGGGACTTCAAACTCTGTGTCCTGCCCACATTCGGTCTTCATCAGCAACAATGACCAGCTCTATCTGTCGTGTCTCGGGAAGGCACACGTCGCAGCTAGGTGTATTATCTGCCGCTCTTTCCCTAGCCATAGGCATGACATGAGGGAATTCTGGCTTAGAAAAGACCTCATGCAGAAGGCCACAAAGCTAGCGTCGGACACAGACTGAGGCAACCCCTGAACATCAGCGTGAATTGACACAGAGCACACTTCCTGCCAGAAGCTCTGACTGTTGCAGGGTGATCCATACCCACAGATTCCCCCCTTCAGCATCTTGTCAGGAGACGGAACACTTGGACAAGCATAAGAGCACCCTCTAGTTCTGCTTCAAAGACGTCCAATACAACTTTGCCTAAATCGAGCAAATCTGCTTGTTCAAACCCTAAAGACGTTGGACATCCTGAGTCCCCGGGCCATGACTCTAAAGCTCATAAATACAGGGCTTTATCAGTATTAGACTCTGTACCAATAACATCCACTCCACTGGTACCATCCAAGGCAAAAAGATGATCCATTGATTCCAGCATGATCACAGCTTCTACCACTGAAGGTACCATCACTTTATCGCACACCGGCCACACAGAGCCTCCCTCCTCCAACCTTGACAGCACAAATGGATTGGACTCCTTGTACTCCAGAGAGATCAGACTTATACTACACTGGAGGATATCTTTGCTCTTTGAGTCTCAGTTTTCCCCCATCATTTGGGACCTTCTCTCCTGACTCCACCAGGGGATGTACTTTTGATAGAAGCCTATCTCCTCTTCTATCTGCTAGCTGTGCTTTTCTTCCGCCAAAACTGTTGATTCCATTGTTGGATCCAGACCCTTTTTTCCCCTTCCTCAGCAGAATTCGAACCTCTAGAAGAGCCGTCATCTCCTCCAAGAAACATTAGTCCAGATAGGAGACCAAGCCTTCTAGTACCAACATCTGCCTCGACATTAGCCTCAGGACTGTTTGTACCCCATGCCTTTGAGCCCCCCACAACTGCCTCCTGAACCAACAGGATAGCTATACTGGAGAATCTGGGACCTGTGTGTCAGATATAGAGAGCCCATGTATTCTGCAAGGGAATCATTTCACCATTCCTTTCTAAGGGAAGAGTCAGAGACTCCTCCTGAGACCCCATAGAAGAGGAGGAATATGAAACAGTTCCATCTCTAACAACAAAATTACCGTCTTCATCGCCCAATGAAGCAGTCATCCTGGCATCTCTGTCCCCTCGGAACAATCATAAACAGATTCACAATTCATTGCAAAGGGTGGCCAGAACAACTCCAGATCTCCCTAGAGGAGGCCTAGGACCCTCAATACAAACTCCCGGATATCCTGCAAACCACCAGCTCCAGTTAATAAAGCTATTCTGGAACCTGCTAGAGCAGCGTGGCAGACATAACCACATACCCCACTACTCCCAAGAGGGCATAGAGGTACTATTTTCTTCCAGCTAAGAGAGTGGAATTTCTTTTTACCCATGCTGCACCAAATGCTCTGGTCATCAAGGCTGCCAGGGAGGAATCTAGACAACAACATTTTAAACCCACTCCTCATAACAAGGTGGCTAAACATCTAGTCCTATAGGGAAGGAAGGTTTTCACGTCTACTAGCCTTCAGTTTTGTAAAGTGAACCATCAAGTGCTGTTGGACAAGTATAGCTATCTCAAATGCACAGATTTTTTTTGGATAAACTACCACAGCAGGACAGCGCTCTCTTCCAGGAGGTCATAGAGGTTAAGCTGATGACCAGAACCACACTTCAGTCAGCGATTGATGCAGCGGACATGTCATCTACATTGATGATAATAGCTATTGTGATGCACTGAGAGTTATGGTTGCACACTTCAGGATTTCCCAGGAGGTCCAAATCATTGTGGAGGATTTTTACCCTCTGAGACCTGTTTTTTCAATGAAAAGACAGATCAGTCCATACATGCTTTAAAGGACTCCGGGGCCACATGCTGCACCCTGGGAACATATACGCCTGCCCCAAAAAGGAAATATCACAGGCAGCCTTTCTAGACTGGCTCCTCCACAGTTGTATCATTAGTGATCTTATGACCTTCCTTTTAAGAGACACAAGGTACAGAACACTAGTTTCTCTGCACTTTGCATGTCTAAGGCATCATTTCAATTCAATCCCATCCTCCAAGGAAAAGATATTTTTGACAGGAATTTGAGAGCTGCAAGCCATTTATGAGGCTGCCACTTCCCAACCGCCATATATTATTTGAGGGTTGTTTAGCACTCTGTTTCCATAACTGGAGTGCCATAACAGACAATTGAGTGTTAGATATCATTGTTACTATGCAGTTGGGTTTACTTATCTACCTCTTCCAAAACCCCCATTTTCAGTTAGGAGGTGGAATCCCTCCTCCAGTAAGGTGCAATAGAGCACTTAGAGATTTTTGCTCTACGTATTTCCAGGTTCCCAAAAAGAAGGTTGGAGACCTATTCTTTAACTTCACAATCTCAACAACGTTATTCACAAACCGATTTCACATATGAAAGACATCCTTTCACATGGCTGTTCACCCTGCCCATAATGGTGTTTTCTCAGATTCATGGTGGGTCCTGACCATTTTCCATACAGGGTGCTCTTATTTGGCCTCACCATTGCGCCCCCCCTCCCAGGTTTTTACCAAGGTCTTTCTGGTAATAACAGCTCATTTCAGACAGAATAGTTTCACCATTTCCCCTTCTCTCAATGATCAGTTTCTCATTGCAAAGACATCTCAGGAAGCCCATAAGTCGACCACATCAATGCATTAACTACTTTCTTCCGATGGAATCGCTGTGAACTTTGAAAAGTCTCTCCTTACTCCAGTTCAGCCTGTAGACTTCACAAGGATCACCCTATATTCAGTTATGGCACAAACTTCCTTACCGTGGGACAGGTTTTGAACTATGAGCGCCCTAGTAGGTCAGGCTATACTCAACTCTCAAGCTCCAGTTAGAACTTATCTTTCCCTTCTGAGGCATATGGCTTCATGTACTTATGCTACCCCATTCACCAGACTCCTCCTATGTTCCATTCAGGTCTGGCTCCAGACAGTACATTCATCAACCAAACACAGCATGAACACCATGGTAACAATTCCTTCAAGAGTAATGTCTTCCCTGATCTGGTGGAAGGATCACTATCAGGTATGTGTGGATGCACCCTTCTTACCATCTTTGCCAGACGAGATAAGTGTTACAGACGCTTCTCTCTTAGGCTACAGAGTCCTCATGGACAACCCTATGGTGCAGGGCACTTGGATACCCTGAGAAACCAGGGTGCACATCAACTTTCTGGAACTCCAGGCAGTTTGAGAAACTTGAGAGGGTTTTCTACAGTTCATCTGGTCCCGCTATGTCCTCAATGTCCGATAACATGACAACTATATTTTCCTGTGTGTAGAAGCAGTCATCCTGTGGAAGTGGTGTATGAAGAATTGAATCACCATGTTGGCAGCTTATCTTCCATGAATTCAAAATGTGTTGGAAGACACCCTCAGCAGGCATTTTGCCATCGATCACAAGTGGGAATTGCATGATTCGTTAATAAACATCATCTTTGCTCATTGAGGGACGTTTCCTTCTCAAACAAATGAGATGTAACGCATACTGCTCCACAGGAGCTCTAGGGCTACACTCTCAGGGCAGTGCTTTCCTTCTTCCCTTATCAGACCATCTCAGCTATGCTTTTCCTCCCTAACCACTCCTTCCTCGGGTCCTGCAGAATATTCTTCAGGACCTGGCAAGTGACGTCCTTATAGTCCCCGATTGGTCCAGACAGTTTTGGTTCCCAAATCTCCCACAACTGTCATCTGAGTCTCTGATCACCATCCAATCCTTTCCTGATCTCTTGACACAGGAAAAGGGCAAGATCAAACATCCCAACTCTGAAGAGCTTCCTCTAATTTCTTAGTTTTTGGATGGGAATCGACATTAGAACATTACTGCTCTCAAGCTGTATAAACAATCCTTAATAGCAGAAAGATTTCCACTAGTAAATGCTATTCAGCCAAGTGGAAACGTTTTTTCATCTGGGTACATCAAAACATTTATCTCCCGAGTCAGTGGATATACCCCTCATTTTGGACTAGCTTTTCTCTCTCAAAACAGCTGGGCTTTCCCACAGCTCTGTATAAGTTCATCTGGCAGCAATCAGTACGTGCCATCCACTATCAGATGGTTGTTCAGTTTTCACTCACCTGTTGACTACCACATTCTTAAAGAGACTTATCAGAACTTTTCTGCCAGTAAAGGGAACATGTTCCTCATTGGGACTTGCATCTTGTACTTTCGGCACTCCCAAAGCCTCCCTTTGAACCAGTATCTACATGTTCCATGTGTCACTTATTAATGAAAGTTGATTTCCTTATGGCCACCACCTCAGATGGAAGGGTGGTTGAGCTAGGATCCCTAATGGTGGGTCCACCATTTGCTATATTCCATAAAGACAAAGTCTCTTTAGGACTATGTCCGGTATTCACTTCCAGAGTAGTTTCGGAGTTTCACATGAACCAGTGAGTACTTTGTTTTTTCCAAAACCGCATGCATCTGAAAAAAGGAGACCTCACTCCCTTGATGTGTGTGACATATTCTCGCCTGCTACCTGAAAAGGACAAAACAAAGTAGAAAATCACCTAGATAGTTTCTCGCTATAGCAGAACGAGTCTGAGGTCAAGTTATATCGTCGCAGAGGATCTCGGGGTATATCCTGCTTTACCAGTAGTTGCATCTTCCTTCCCCTCATAGGGTGAGAGCTTGTTCTACAAGAGCATAAGCAACTTCAATGGTATTGCTTCAGGAAGTACCCTTATTTGTGGGGGAATTCTGCACCAAAAAAATAAAAATTATGCGCACGATATTTTAAAATTCTACATATTTTGTCAAAATAACAATATGATCATAAGAACATAGCTAAGGCTATGATTTGATCATGGAGGTCATGGACCGCAGACCTCCAGGATTTCAGCCCGCAGCAGCTGGGAGCTGCAGGGTACCCCCACCTCCTCTGGTGGCTGGGAGCTGCGGGGTATCCCTGCAGTTTGGAGTGAAAGGGGTCCCCTGCCAGCTCCCCAACCCCCGCAGGCAGTGGGGGATACCTGGCAGCTCCCCAGCGGGTGGGGGAGGGGTAAGCAGGGAGTAAGCAGGGTGGGCCCTCGGGGAAGGGGCGGGGTAGATTCTGGGTTGACCTTGAATTCAAAACATGATCTTGTGCGTAAAAAGGTTGGAGACCACTGCTGTAAAACATGTTTTCTAATCTTCTTGTCATTCTTGTGGCTATGCTCTGAACCTTCTCCAATTTATCAACATCCTTCTTGTATTGTGGGTACTGGAACTGGACATAGTATTCCAGCCGTGGTTGCACCAGTGCCAAATGACCTCTACTCCTACTCAAGATTTCCCCTGTTCATGCATCTCAGGATTTCATTAGCTCTTTTGGCCACTTCATCACACTGGGAGCTCATGTTCAGCTGGTTATCCCCCATGCTCCATCCCTGTCCCCAAATCTTTTTCATAGTCACTACTTCCCAGGATAGAGTTCCCCTATCCTGTAAGCATGGGCTACACTCTTTGTTCCCAAATGTCTACATTTACATTTAGTTGTATTAAAATTCATATTGTTCGCTTGTGCCCAGTTTACCAAGCGACCTAGATTGCTCTGAATCAGAGACCTGACTTCTTCATTGTTAACAGAAAAATTGGGGGAGTGATTATCTGTAAACTTTATCAGTAGTGATTTCATTTTCTTCCCAGTCATAAATAAAGATGTTAAATAGAGTAGGATAATCTACTCCATTTGCAAATCATTGTCCTTGCCTGACCTGTTGACTTAGCAGTTAAAATACTTAGCTTTTACTTTCTAAATATACTTACTCTATATTAAGATAGTATTTACTACCTGCCTAAACCCAACAGCTGTTCAAGGTTCAATAAGATGAAATATTAAGTTAGTGTTCATATTTCTTTATTTCAGAGACACATTAACAGATACTAAGGGACAATTTTCAAAAACACTTTTATATTGTTTCAGAGTAAGATTTAGTATGCATAGATCTTGTATTTGTTGGTGCAGACCCACACTTAACAGCTGAATGTTTCTGTTTAGCCACCTCGCACATCTCACCCTGTAGTGAAGTTCTCCTGCACTGACTGTGAACCAATGGTCATTGACAAACTGCCTTTTGATAAATATGAGTTAGAACCTTCACCGCTGACCCAGTTTATCCTGGAAAGGAAATCTCCTCAGACGTGTTGGCAGGCAAGTTGAATATGTACTAACTAAAGGACGTTTAGCTGAGAAATAGTATTCTGTAAATAACTTGAAATTAAATTATAATTATATGTGTTGATTTACTGTAAATTCACTGACATCAGACCTTTAACTTAGAACTCGCACTTAAAAAATATTTATGTACAACATGAATTACACGAACTCTTCTTATTGCAGGTGTATGTGAGCAATAGTGCAAAATATAGTGAACTTGGCCATCCTTTTGGTTACTTGAAAGCCAGTACAGCACTGAATTGTGTGAACCTGTTTGTGATGCCTTACAATTATCCAGTCCTCCTTCCCCTCTTAGGTAAATACAGCTTTCTCAAATCCTTCTGATGTGGTAGGCAGATGGAAAATTGCTTCAGCCTAGTTACATTTTTTGTGTTATTAATGCTACTGTTAATAATCATAAGCCTATACAAATCCAAAACATTAAGAACGTAATATTTCTACTGAAAAGAGAACTTCTAATTTTTCTGACACCTACTATATTCATGATTCACGTATCAAAAAATTGCTACCATTCCTGAATCTGAGTATAATCCTGTTGATTTCTAAAAATGAGTGTTTATTGTTCAGGTATCTTACTCCCTTTCTAATATGCTGTGACTGCCACTTGCCCCCCTGCTGCTACTGCAAAGGCACTCTTTTCCCACTCCCATGGATCTGATGAGTTAGATTTTATAAATATGTTACAAGATTCTACCTTCCTTACAAATCTCATGGATTGCATCCAATAGTGATTAGCTCGGATTAAGCCTTAGTGTAGTAGGACGAACCTTTAGAAGAAATGTTCTTAGAAAATGTGTGGTGAGTGATGCCTTATATTAAGAAACGCACCTCTCATTTAACTTTATCTCTGTTTGTATAACTTCTTAGATGACTTATTCAAAGTACACAAAGCAAAGCCAACCTTAAAATGGCGGCAGTCATTTGAAAGCTATTTGAAGACAATGCCTCCTTACTATCTAGGGGTAAGATGATTTATTGTACGTGCTTTTTAAAATTGCTGCTGTATCCTATAATTTATGGTAAACTTGTATCTTCAGTTATTAGCTAGTTCTGTTAACTTCCTTCTTTTGGATTATATTTTATAAAGCAATTAGGATGTTCTGAACATAATAAAAGATTAATGTGTACAAATCTAGGATTTCACATTTATGGCGTCATGTACGCCCCTGGAAAAATAACTTTCCTAAAATTTACATTAATGTCTTGACTTTTCCCTTTGACCATAATATTATAAAAACTTGGTCAGGTATAACTACTGCTTGAACTATACCTCCACGAACATTTAATAATTCCCCATTAATGTTGCAATACTTAAAGGAAACGGATGTTATGATGTTGTCTTCAGGGGTTGCAAATTCACTTTGAAATGAATGCATTAAGCAATATTGTGCTTTTAATTCTTGCTACAAACTTAAGGGTACAAATGTACAAGGATATAAATATGTAAGTGTATATATTACTTGTTTCAGCCTTTGAAGAAAGCTGTGAGAATGATGGGAGCGCCTAACCTTATAGCAGACAGTGTGGAATATGGACTTAGTTACAGTGTCATTTCATACCTCAAAAAGTTGAGTCAACAGGTAATGTTGATGCAAAAGAGCAATAAAAAATGAAAACTAAAATTAAAAAACACTGTTATACTAATATCAGACTAACTTGAAAATATCAGTGAACCATGTTGGTTCTCATAGTAAAGGGGCAAGAAACCTCAAGTTACCTGAATTCCTACATGTGATTACTGTTGGTACATTTTCCATTCTCTGAATTAGTTGAAAACTTTGTTTATAGACTAAACTGTACATACATACTGAAATGTGGCTGATTGGATGACTCAAGGTATATAGTATACGAGCAGTATTTTCATATGTGCCAACTTGAATATATTTGTGATTAAAAAGGCGCAGTCCTTTCTGCTCTGTGCTAAAAATCACCTGGCATGAGATTAGGGATTTGTGCCTATATGTAATTGGGCCAAAATGTAGCCGCCTTTCCTATTTGGCCCATAGTTTTTGAAGTGCTTCAGGTTCCATAAAAAATGAAAGGCATTAGCTAAATATAAAACATCAACAGTGCCTTTCATCCCTATCGAAGTGCTTGCTTACAAATGAAACAGGCACAGAATGGACAAGGTTACATCCCAAGCCATTGGCAGTGGTGGGGAATCGAATCCACATCTCCCGGCTAGTCTCCTGCTCTAGGAGCTAAAAACCATTGATTTCCCATTATCACTTATGTTTTGTGTTGTGTCAAACTTTTTTTTTTGGATAATCACAAAATTGAGTAGCTTTGACACAAATGGATGTAGAGATGCAAGTATTAATGCCTTTGTATGTTAAAATTTCATAAAGTTTAAAAATCTTCAATATAAATATTATTTTTTAAACTCCTAGCTATAGCCTGTGGAAATCTGTGATGAATCTTACCAAATTGTGTGATCATTTTGCTCAAAAAATCTGCATAATATATAAATCTGTATATTTATACATTTTTGGCTCAAAATACATAAAATACATTGTTCTACAGTATGTTTTAGCTACGTTGGAGTATACAGTGATCCTTCTTCAAATATTTGTTTCCTTTTGAAAAATTCTACTAGTTTAAGAGAGTTCTGTTCTTAAAATGGGAAATAACATTTGATCTTGCAGCATGGAAGGAACTTCTCAAGTGCAGCCTCTGAATAAACACTATATAGCAGTCAGAAGTTCTCAAATGATTTTTGGCTCATTGTTCAGCTGTATTCTGCCAAACCACTAGTGATACATTTTAGAGCATATTTATTTTGGGACATACTGGGCAGGTGAAAAATTATTGGCTGTGGTGGATTGTCTGCCAAATGGAGGAAGAATCAAAAGATTGCTGTGTGTTCCCTCATTTTGTTGGAGTTGAACTGCTTCTTCCTTGCTTTAATCTCTGGTTCTTTTCTTATCTTCTGTTGACTTTTTAAAAAAAGAAATTGACACAATCATATGAGTCCATAATAAATACAGTTAAATGAGATAAGTTACTTTGAGAATTCTAAGACTTCAGCTGTTTTCACAGGGAAAAGTGGAATCCATGAGCACATGCAGAAATTGTGGCAGTTTTCCTATAATGGTAATCAAGGCATTTTTATGAAAATAAAAGCATTGCATGCATATTGGTGCGTAGATACTATGATAATGGGCACCCTAGAAATACCTAAAAGAGCTAGACACAAAAACTGTTTACCATTCATATTCTAATGATTTAGAATTGTAATAGTACATTCAGCAAACCACCTTAAACACTCTTCCACATTATATTTTTTATAGTGTATTAGCACATTGCCGAATCTTCTAGGTGAGAATTAGGAATGAATTTAATATTCTGACTAATCATTTTAAGAGTATATTGTCAATTTTATTTATTTATTTATTTCAAATTAAGGCCAAAATAGAGTCCGATAGAGTCATTGGCTCTGTAGGCAAAAAGGTAGCGCAAGAGACTGGAATTAAGGTCAGAAGCAGATCACACAACCTGTCTATGGCACATAGGAACGATTTTCAACAACTGCTACAGGGGATTACTGGGGAAATTCCTCATAGACTTCTAGACCTCAATATGAAGGAGTATGCTGGGTTCCAAATAGCTTTGCTGAATAAGGTAAGCACCATTATGTGTAATGTTGTTATTTTCAATACACTTCCATTGAAGTATTAGATGTTATTTCATATGTAGTATTAATCAAAGCTTTATTATATTGCTGCAACTGTAGGAATTGAAACCTCAGACATTTAGAAATGCTTATGATATACCCCGAAGGAATCTTTTGGATCACTTAACAAGAATGAGGTCTAATCTTATGAAGATAACTCGCAAGTTTCTCAAAGGACAAGATGAAGGTTAGATTTCTTGGTTTATTGTTCGCATATCTTAATATATGCAGTAGTTAGTACTATTAGCATAATTTTGTATAGTGTTCTGAATGGAGTTGAGCCTTCTTCAATAGATGCTTAGCTAGGAGGTTTTCTTTCTGAAATGAACTTATTCTAAGATTGCAGCTGTTGCACATGAACCCCAGTGACTTTTCTTGGGCTTTTCCACCACACCTTTATTATAAGTTAGACATTTTCCAATGGCTCATAGAAGACAAATCTTGTCTTCTGTTTAATTTCTTCGACTGTCTTTGTCTTAAGAACAGTCTTGTTTTCATCAGCTTTTGATTCTTTTGTTTGTTTTTGTTTCACTTCTTTTTTCCAGCTTTCTGGGTATATCAAAGGACAAATATCTTCTAGACAGTCCTGGACACTGAAGTCCTCTGTCCATATAATAGGTACATAATAGGCACTGGCAGAACAAGCTTTCCCCCTGCATCCTGCCAACTTGCCTCTCCCTTGACCTGAAAGGAGAGTAGTTGTCTCCATGCTAATTCAGTTTTTTTCTCTCTCTGGTGACTTTCAGCAGGCAATACAATAACCTGTGCTAGCCATAAATGACAGTAGTAGTAGTAAAAAGAAAAGGAGTACTTGTGGCACCTTAAAAACTAACAAATTTATTTGAGCATAAGCTTTTGTGAGCTACAGCTCAGGAAAGCTTATGCTCAAATAAATTAGTCTCTAAGGTGCCACAAGTCCTCCTTTTCCTTTTTGCGAATACAGACTAACATGGCTGCTACTCTGAAAGTAGTAGTAGTAGGGCTCAAAAGTAGAAGTACTCTGCAGTTAAAGTGCTTCATTACACTGTGGCACCTGATGAGTAGAAGACAATAATGGAAAGAATGAAATAAGAATAGACAGAGAGAAAGGAAAAAGAACAAGAAAAAATAGGACTTCCAATAACATTTCTAGATTACGAATATTAGTCTGGTCTAAGTAGCGATAGAATGTCACTACCATTCAGTGTTTATTAAAAAAGTTGTGTCCAGTTCCTGGAGAGGTGTCCATATTACAACTGACATTAATTCTAGTGTAATCTGCTACCCAGCCTACCTCCTTGCTGAGCAAAGGATTGATGGGTGAATTTTGACATGTTGTGCGGTCAAGAAGACATTGAGGACCTGAATCACAAGGACCCTTAAGAAAATGCTGAATTTTGTTTTAAGTGTGTACAAGATTACAAGTATCTTGTACCTTGCTGACAATATTAGAAAGGACATTTCTCAAGTTGTTGGTGTTTTACTTCTAATTAATAAAATGTCTTCATGTTTTTGGCAGTTATGAAGGGGCTTTTGAGTAATCATAGTTCAGAGTAGCATGTAAAGTGGAATATTAGATAATAATTTCATACATCAGTGTAGTAGTAGCTTCAGTGCATTTTACAATTAATGTGTTCAGATTATCCTGATCAAAAAGATGGGATATGAAAATGTGGATGTGTGAAATACATCCAGAATTAAATTCTGACAAAACAGTGTCATACTGTTTCTATAGGCATAGTCTTTTGATAAAAAACTGTCTTCAATTCCAATAGATCAAGTTCACAGTGTGCCAATAGCACAAATGGGAAATTATCAGGAGTACCTAAAGCAGATACCATCTCCTCTTCGAGAGCTTGACCCTGATCAACCCCGAAGGCTACATACATTTGGTAATCCATTTAAATTGGACAAGAAGGTAATTTCTCTGTAGTACTCTTTTTGTGTAAAACTAGTGCTGTGGAATTTGTATGTGTTGCTAACTAGAGGCCATCCAAGTGCATAGGAAAAGAAGGCCACTATATTTCTTAAGAAATTTCTTCAACCTTTTTCAGACCACTTGTTTTCTCATGGAGGGACAGGCTTGATTAGAAATCACTTATGAAAGCTCTGCATTTTTTAGTATGAAATATTCATATGTTGTGAAATTTCCAACACCGTACCCTTTTTTCACTCCCCCACTCCCCCTTTTATTAAGCCCCTTCCTTAGCAAAAGCTTGCATTAACTTGATGGCTTCTCTAGTTTTCCACTAGCCCAAGGACATGGATTCTTAATCCCTCACAAATCCAGGCCTTTGACTTGACTTCAGTGAATTCCCAAGATAGTTGAATATTTAACTGACTAAAAATTACCTTGCATTTGACTCCAGTTTAGAGGTCATGTTTTACAGACAAATTTTATAACCATAGTCAGCTTTCTTACTTGGCATATTGTTTAGTGTGGTCTTCAATATATCATCCCTCTCAAAGTAAGTCATTTGCCCAGGTTTTTTTTAATTGGCATTTGAGAGGAGCCAAGACAAGGTGGTATATTTTCCTGATTGGATTGTCTTATATCTGGCAAAAGTCAGGAAATTGTTGGATATGCGATATATTTTTTGTTAAACTTGCTGTGCAAGATAACACAAATTTGAGAGTTTTTTTTTTAAAAAACAGATTTATTTGTTACAGGGAATGATGATAGATGAAGCAGATGAATTTGTATCAGGGCCTCAAAATAAGCACAAACGACCTGGAGAACCAAATATGCAAGGGATTCCTAAAAGACGTCGGTGTATGTCACCCCTTCTTAGAGGCCGGCCACAGACTCCTCCTGTCATGAACAATCATATTGGAGGAAAAGGACCACCTACACCTGTAATGCAAGCACAGCCAGATCTTGTTAAACCTATTCCTATTCTCAAAAGTAAGTGTAACTCTATTTCAGTTAATTTTTCCTGTTGCCTTCATTTGGTTCCTCTTCAGAAAATTCGCTTTACTGTTTATACAAAAAAATATTTTAGTTGGTCTACAACAAATACTCATCAAGAAAGTAAGCATGCTGTAGATTTCTCAAATGCGTGCATTTGAATATCCAGTTCCAAAATGTCAGTATGTAAATGTTCAGCCTTAATTATCCAATTACTTTGCTTATTTGGCACCTCATAGGTTTCAAACCTCTGCCATTCTTCTGTAATTTCAAAGCAATATAAAGGTTTCTGAAATTTGTTAACTATCTGCCATTGAAACACCACTTCCTAAAACTAAAACTACCTTGATGTGTACAAGGGAAAGTATTATACAATGTAGACAAAGGTACTTGTCCTATGCCTTTTAATTGTTTCACATATATACATTTTTAGGATTTAGTAATACATAAATTGATTGTGATTTTATAGTAAGTAAAATAAACATCAGTGAAATTTATAGTAGTTACCCTTCCAGCAAATCTAAGAGGGGGAAGAATATGGGAGGGTTTCATATTTATAGACTTGCCATATTTGTTGATTGTTTACCTGCGCTCTTTATATTGAGGATTTATATTTTTCCTCCATAAATCACTCTTTTGAGCCCCTAATTATTTCTGTTGCTCTTTTCTTTCTCAGCATTTTTGTAATAAGAAAGTGGACGTATTAATTTAACATTTCAGGTTCATTTGCACCAGAGACAAGTAGAGGGGTCCTTACCTTCCTGTTCTGTGATAGATGAAGAGTTTAAAAAAGGAATTTGATATTTCAGCCATTACATTTAACTCCTTTGTTACAAATAGGCCTACTTTTTTCTAGCACTCTTTTCTTAGCAATATTGAAAAGCTTTTTACTTTCCCCTTAGCTTTTTTAACTAACATTTTAACTCATTTTCTTGTATGCCCCATATTTTTTCATATATTACTAATTTAATATTGTAGTTCGGTTTCCTTCTGTCATTTGACTTCCTGTATTAAGCAGATCCTTGTGAAATCAGTTGGTTAATCCTTATATTCAATTTCAGAGGAATTGTAGCTTGTTTTAATTATGGTGTCTTTAAGATTCCCTAGCTGCCTTGCACCATGGTACATTTAAAACCTTCCATCTTGTGGTGTTCACTGACTTTTTTAATTCCAAATTTTTATTTAGGTGGTGGTTGCATTTTCTTATTTTTGGTTCATAATCTTTCCCCTTGTAACACAGGAATCTATTAATTAGATAAGACCACACTTAAAATTAGATACTGCTATAAGGCATTCAAGTAGACATGCAAGAGTAATAGCCAGCACCTGATTTTAGCTGAATTTCAGCCTGGCCTCACTTCTTGCAGGTGTAATTTTGTGCTTGCAACTAAATGTTTTATTAAATCTTACTATTCAGATGGCAAAATATATGACTGATTTGCAGATTCAAGTTAGGTGTGCAGCGGATTAAGTAAGATTTCTTCCTATAAGTGTGGGCAGAAGAGTTCAGTTTTTGCAGGCACAAATTGTCCCTCTGAAAGAGAGGATGTCTGAAAAACTAGGGTCAGTCTTCTTTTGTGGTGTGACTTTTTTCCAGGAGGAAGTGTGTTGTACTTAACCTGGCCTGGAATAATTTTTGGACTTCTGGTAAAGGCATAAACAAATACATATTTTAAAGTTTTTCATATGGTAAAATACATTTTCAACCATTGTTGGTTGTTTGCTTTTCCACTTTGCTGATAAAATACAGAACATAGTGCATTTGAATTTGGCGGTTTGCAGTAATTTTCTCACTTCTCGGAGGTCGGACAATATTACAAATAAGCATGTAGTTCACAATCCTGTGGGAATTGACACCAGGGCAAATTACAATTGAATCACTGTATATAGTCAGACGTACTGGGATATACCTTCTTATAACAAAATTTAGGAACCTTCTCAGTACAAAGAGTTTGTTTCCCCTCTTCTCTTTTAATACAGTGAATAAAGTAAAAGCAAGGCCAGTATATCCCTTTAAGTGGGTCTCACTGATATCTGATTACATTAGTGAGTACAATCTTTGATCTGACTCACTCCAAAATATTGCAACACACAAGCTTATCTGGTGAGCTTCGTTCCAGTGAAGAGTGAACTTTATTCCTTAATGTGGGCCTGTGTGTTGCACAGGGCCCTTGAGCCAGCCCTTCTGCACTGAGGTGAATTCTACCCATTAATCTTAATGGGACCAGGTAAGTAATTCCTCACAGAAACATCTTTTATCTTCTGTTCATTTGACTTCTTGCTTTGTTGCTAGTCTGTGTAACTCTTCCCGTTTCCTTATAAAGAATGCTTCCCTGTATTGCTAGACCACTACTCCTCAATGGACATTCCAGGGTGTTCTCTGCCACCAGCAACATCATCTTGGGACTCCCCCGGTGTTGCAGAAGTATCTCTTACCTTCCTCTAAACCTACCTGCTGCAACATGACTGCACAAGACTAGATTACCCCGATATCTATCAATACATGATTTTGATGTTTTTTAATGCATGAGTGCCAGCTTGTCCCTCTTCATAGTCTTTATTTTTCAGCTTCAGAAACCAATAACGAGATTGCAGCGGATGATGTGATTGAGAATCATGTTGCAGATCCACTTTCATCAGATGTTTTTCCAAATGCTATGGATTCTGAATTTTCAGTGTCCTCTTCTCCATTCAATTCATTGGACGGACCAACAACTCATTCAGAGCATTTAGGCCATGAACATTTAGGAACTAATAACCTTAGCATTGATGAATTTATGAAAAATCATGAAGAGTCAGGTGGTAAAGAGCGAAGTACTCAAGAAAACTTGCCAGCATCTTCGCCCAACAAAGGGAAAAAAGTGATACATTCCAGAAGTGCGAGAGAGGTTAATATAGAACTAAAAGCACAAATTATGAAGGAGATTAGAAAGCCAGGAAGAAGTAAGTATAAGAACCCCAAACCACTATCTTTGTATCCAGATGATTGGAGAGACAACTAGACTCAGTTGAAATATTTAGACTAGAACATTGTATTTTGTAAGCTACTGAGTCATGCAAGAATTATAATAGAGAGAGATCTGTGATTACTAGCAGAAGTAAAAATAAGAGAAGAGAAACCTAATGTGTAGTAGAGAGAAAATCCTTTTAATTCAAAGTTTATAAGGCCTCTTTAGAAAGTTTGAAAATGTTTTCTTTCATACTTTCCTGAGTGGGTGGGTGGAATAGGACTAAATCCATCTGTGTTTATATTCAGATTTTGTACTTACCTACTTTGACAGTAGCCTAGATTTAGTACAATTGATTTTTACATTAAAGTTAACAACTTTTAATTTTTCTTTGAGTGATGGTCCCTATGTATATTCCACACGTGGGATAAGCATGTGCACCATGAGCTTGAGTCTGGAATATTTTTTTTTACAAGCAGTGTCCATTGGCCTGTACATGTGCCATAGCTCTCCTCGTGCACTGAAGCGAGGGCATAAAAGGTGGTGTGGGCTGACACCTTTCCAGTTCCTTCTTACTGTTGCAAGGTCTGAGTCAGAATCTTTGGTGTCCTCAGCTCCTTTTTTTTTTTTTTTTTTTTTTTTACTGTGTCATTGCTGTAAGCTATTGTGTATAGTTAGTTTTAGTAGTCTACATAGTATAGTTAGTGTTTTTTTCCATTGTCTTCCCCACCCGGTAACTTTTTCCCCTTGAGAATGTCCATGGTTCCAGGGTTCAAAAACTGTTTCCTGCCCTCATTCATTTTTGGTGAGCAACTAACAACAACGTTGCCTCTGCTGCCTGTGTGAGGCTCATATTTCTGCCAAGGAAGGGTATAAAGATATGGATCTGATGGTTCAAACATCGGGACTGATGGTGAAGGCTCGGGATGAACAGCCAGTTGATCCATCCTACTGTGAAGAGTGTGGGATCCCTACCCTAGACACCCAGGATTGGTGTAGGAGTCCTATTTTTCCATCACCTGGACACTCACAACTGGCCCTGTTGGAATATTTGGAAGGGGAGACTGAGGAAGATCATATGGTTCTGGGAGCAGTCTTGTTGTCTTCACCAGATGAGGCGGTTACTCTATTTTCTGTGTCTCTGCCAGATGACTTGAAATAATATCACGAGCTCATGCCCAGGGTGGCTGCAGAGCTATAGATTCAGCTTGAGGAAGTCCTGGAACCGCAGCATATTTTTTTAAACATTCTGCAGCCTTCCTGTCCCAGTTGAGTGGCCCTCCTCATAAATGAGGCCATCATGGACACAGCACAGATAGTTGGCACACTCCTGCTTCTTGTGCTCCCACCTGTAACCGCTCTGAGAAGCACTACTTTGTTCCATCCATGGTGGGAGCTTTTGTCCTCTCACCCACTGCTAAACTCTTTGGTGGTTTAGGCAGCTACAAAGCAGCCCAAGCAACAGCACCCAAAGGCTACTCCCTCTGAAAAAGGACCCAGGTGACTCAGCCTTCTAGGGAGAAAGGTCTTCTCTTCCACCTCCCTCCAGTTCAGGATCTCCGGTGATCAGGCCCGCTTGTCCAAATATGATTTTTACTAATTATAATTTTTTGGAATTTAAGGACAAGCTCCCTAAAGGGGGCCTAATTCTAGGTCTTAGTGAATGGGGGCAGATTGGTGGCCAAAGCTTTCTTCCAAGCTGCGATGGGTGCAGCAAATATTGCATCTAGGGGAATGGCTTACAGATGTGTTATGAGGAGAGACTTGTGGTTACAATCCTCTGGTTTCCCTAGAGAGGTGAAGAGTACCATCGAAGATCTCCCCTTCAGTACTATCCACCTATTCCACGAGAGGGTAGATGAGTGTCTCCACTCCCTCAAAGACTCAAGGATAACGCTTCACTTGCTGAACATTTATGCTCCAGTCCCTAAGAGAAAACACTATAGACTTATGTATAGGGCAAGGCTGCCGCCTCAGTTGTTTTACACCAACATCCACAGGAGCCACCACACAAGAGACTGAAAGTTTATATACCCAGGAGCCCAGCCTCTGCAGCATCCACCACCATGTTATGCTCTAATCTCCTAGTGAAGAGTTTCTTTTGACAGGACCCATGTGCCTTTATTGATGCTGCTTCACTCCCCTCCTCTGATATTCAAAGGCTGCCTTACCCAATTTGCCAAAAATCTGGAGGGCCCTGACTACAGACAGATGGGTGTTAGATTATTCAGGGTGGTTATCTGATTGAGCTGCTGTTACCTCCTACCCACAGACCGCCTTCCCAGGTCAGTTTTCAAGGACCACTCTCACAAGGAGATTCTGTGACAAGAGGTGAACTTCCTTGCCCTCAGGGGAGTAATAAATAGGGTTCCACCTCAACTTCAAAGGAAGGGATTCTAGTCCCCTTACTACTTTATTCCCCAGCAAGGTTGGGGGATGGAGGTCAGTTCTAAATCTGAGACGGCTGAACAGGTTCATTCAAAAACTAAAATTCCACATGATATCCTTGGCATCAGTAATTCCCTTGTTAGAGGACACATGGTTCATGGCTTTCGACCTGAGACACATATTTGCACGTAGACATCCACCCGCTCACAGGAGATTCCTCTTTGGTCAAAAACATTACGAATTCAGAGTCTTCCCCTTTGGTCTAGCTGCAGCACCTAACATCTTTACAAATGTTTTTTTCAGAGTGGTAACGTGGATGAGACGAGAGAAATTTACAGTAATCCTTTATGTTGACAACTGACTTCTGACAGACAGTTCCTATGAGGAAGTCCAGTGGTTCTGTTCAGTCTACTTCCTTCCCTGGGTGTCTGCGTCAATCACAAAAAATCTGTCGATCCCCGCAAGGTTCATCAATTTTATAGTGGAGAGATTGGACTTGATCACAAGAAGAGCATATCTACCTCAAGAGGTTTCATGCCATGAGCACTTCCATATATAAGGCCAATCATAGGGCCACTGGACAGTTGAGGTGCTAAAGGAGCACTCAGGGAAGACAAGACCATTGAAAAGAACCTAAATGAGTACTTTGTATTGGTTTTCACCGCAGAGATTGTGAGGGAAATGTCCACACCTGAGCCATTCTTTTTAGATGACAAATCTTAGGAAATGTCCCAGATTGAGGTGTCAATAGAGGTGGTTTTGGAACAAATTGATAAATTAAAAACAGTAATAAGTCACCAGGACCAGATGATATTCACCCAAGAGTTCTAATGGAACTCAAATATGAAATTTCAGACCTATTAACTGAGTATGTAACCTATCACTTAAATCAGCTTCTGTATCAAATGATTGGAGGCTAGCTAATATGATGCCAATTTTTAACAAAGGCTACAGAGGCATCCTGGCAATTACAGGCTGGTAAGCCTAACTTCCAGAACCAGGAAAATTGGTTGAAACTATAGTAAAGAACAGTATTATCAGACACATAGAAGAGCACCATTTGTTGGGGAAGCGTCAACACAGATTCTGTAAAGGGAAATCATACCTCACCAATCTATTTGAATTCATCAACAAACGTGTGGACTAGTGTGATCCAGTGGATATAGTGTACTTGGGCTTTTAGAAAGCCTTTTAAAGGCTCTTAAACAAAGTTAGCAGTCCTAAGATGAGAGGGAAAGTCCTCTCATGGATCAATAATTAGTTCAAAGACAGGAAACAAAGCATAGGAATAAATGGTTAGTTTTCAAAATGGATAGTGGTGTAAATAGCGGTGTTGCCCAAGGATCTGTATTGGGACCAGTGCTGTTCAGCATATTCATAAATGATTTGGAAAAAGGGATAAACAATGAGGTAGCAAAATTTGCAAACAATACAAAATTACTCAAGATAGTTGAGTCCAAGGCAGACTGTGACAAGTTAAGGGATGACTGGGTAATGCAAGTGACATTCAGTGTTGATAAATGCAAAGTAATGCACATTGGAAAACATAATTCCAACTATATATACAAAATGATGGGATCTAAATGGACTTTTATGACTCAAAAAAGAGATGTTGGAGTCATTGTGGATAGTTCTCTGAAAATATCTGCTTAATGTGCAGCAGCAGTCAAAAAAGCTAACCATGTTAGAATTATTAGGAAAGGGATAGATAATAAGATAGTAAATAGCATACTACTACTATATAACTCCATGGTATGCCACACCTTGACTACTGTTGCCCCATCTCAGAAAAGATGTATTAGAAATTGAAAAGGTACAGAGAAGGGCAACAAAAATGATTAAGGGTATGGATCAGCTTCTGTATGAGCAGAGATTTAAAAGATTGGGACTATTCAGCTAGGAAAAGAGGATGTGGGGGGATATGAGGTTTTTTATAGAGGTCTATAAAATCATGAATTGTGTGGAGAAAGTGTTATTTATCCCTTCACATAACAAAAGAAATAAATGTCTCCCAATGAAATTAATAGGCAGCAGGAACAAAAGGAAGTACTTCTTCACACAGCACTCGGTCAACCTGTGAGACTTGTTGCCAGGGGATGTTGTGAGGGCTGTAACTATAACAGGGTTCAGAAAAGAATTAGATGAGTTCATGGAGGATAGGTTCATTAATGGCTATTAGCCAAGATAGGTAGAGATGCAATCCTATGTTCTGGGTATCCATAAGCTTCTTACTGTTAGGTGCTGGGACTGGACAATGGGATGGATCGCTTGATAATTGCTCTGTTCTGTTCATTCCCTCTGAAGCATCTGGCATCGGCCACTGTCGAAAGACAGGATAGTGGGCTGGATGGACCATTGATCTGACTCAGTATGGCTGTTCTTAGGTTCCCTATCAGACCCAGGACATTCATCAGAACTTGCCTTTCCCCACTCTGCCACGTGGCCTCATGCGCACACTTGATGCTGTTCGCCAGGCTTCTGCTTCACTGCCTACAGGCCTGGCTTCTCTCTGTGTACTCAGCAGAGAAAGGCAACATAAATTGTAATGTGACAGTTTTGGCCAAAGTTTTAGACTCTCTCATCTGGTGAACAACACCAGAGAACATTCGTGTGGGGATTCCTTTCCTCAATCTGACTCCCAAGGCAACCATCATGAAGGAAGCTTCCCTCTTGAGTTGGGGTGCTCACATGGGCCATTATATGGCACAAGACACAGACCCTACAAAAGTCCAGAATGCATATAAATTTACTAGAACGCTAGGTGGTCCATCAAATCTGTGATGCCTTCCCCTCACTCATCCAATCCAGACGTGCAAACAATGTCAGACAACATGACAACAGTATTTTACATAAACAAGCAGGGAGGAAGCGAGATTTGTCTGTCTCTGTTCATAGAGAGGCAGTTGCCCTCTGTAACTGATGCATCGATCATAGCATAACCTTAGCAGCAGCATATTTACCAGGCGTGCAAAACTCAATAACAGACTGCCTGAATAGACATTTTTCCACAAATCACAAATGGGAGATTCACAGCTTTGTTCTTGATAATAACTTTGCCCAGTGGGGAACACTGGCCTGGGATCTTTTTTGCCTCACGGGAGAACAGGAAACTTCCTTGGTACTGCTCCAGACCAGCCCTGGGTAAAGACTTAATGGGAGATGCCCTATTGGTGTCATGGAAGGGTCATTGGGTATGCCTTCTGTCCCATCTCACTGATATCACAGGTTCTTTGGAAGAGTCACTTATCCTGTCACAGCTAGATTTCTAAAGGAGATTCTCGGATCCTTTCCACCATTGGTGAAGTTCATATCTTAATGGACTCAGTTTTGTTTTATCGTCACTCACTAACTTCTCTCCCCCCCCCCCCGAGCTTCTAGCCACATGTGCTGCGGCCCATCCGTCCATGAAGGTGGCCTTTCTATAGCCATAACGTCAGCCAGAAGAGTCTGTGAACTGGGAGCACTTGTGGCAGACCCACCACATACTTCCTTGTTTAAAGAAAAGGACTCGTTACGATGCCACTCTAGATTTGTTCCTAAAGTAGTTTCCAAGTTTTACATGAGCCAGGAAATCCACTTACCAGTATTTTTTCCAAAATTGCATGCCTCAGATGAAGAGAGACAGCTGCATTCTCTAGATGTCTGAAGGGCTTTGGGCTTTTATCTTCAAAGAAAAAAGGATGTTGGAAAAACACACCTAAATTATTTGTTTCCATAGCAGAGCGATCAAGTGATCTAGCTATATTGGTGCAGAGACTTTCAAATTGGATCTTGGGTTGTTTGTATTACCCTTTGTTACCAACTAACTCGTATCCCCCTTTGGAGGGGGTGTGAGTGCTCATTCTGCTAGCAGGGGTGCTGGAACAATTTGTATAGTGTGGGTACTGAGAGCCATTGAACCAAACTGTAAACCTGGTGTATGATGGAAACCACTTCAAGCTGGGGGTGCAGCAGCACCCCTAGTTCCAGCATCGGTGTCCACTAGAGGGCAAACTACTTCTGCTGCATCTCTGAGAGACATATCTCTCCTAGAGATATCTAGGGCAGCTATGTGGAGCTCTTTGCATACCTTAATGAGATATTATGTTCTGGTCAAGTTGTCAACTGCAGTTACAGCTGTGAGGACAGTAGTACTACAGTCAGCTACCACTGTCGCATCCTCTCCCCAACCCCCATCTGACTACTGCTTGTTAATCACCCACGTGTGGAATACACACAGGGACTATCACTCAAAGAAGAAATAGAGGTTACTTACCTGTAACGGCAGTTCTTCAAGATGTGTGGTCCTGGTCTGTATTCACTACCCGTCCTCAGTCCCCTCTGCAGTGGATTGTTTGAACTGTGGTAAGAATAGGAAACTGGAGAGGTGTCTGCCTGCACCACTTTTTATGCTCTCTGTTCAGAGCAGGAGGAGAGCTATGGCACATGTGCAGGCCAATGGATGCTGCTCGCAAAAAAAATTCCGGACTCAGGCACATGTGTATCCTACATGTGGAATGCAGATAGGGACAACACATTTCGAAGAATCTTCAGTTACAGGTAGGTAACCTATATGTTTACTTGCCTACTTAATACAAATACAGTACCATTACTCAAGCTGTACAAAAGCTGAATGAAGCTTGCAATTATGCTCATAAAGCAGGGTGTTGCAACAGATATATCTGTGTAGGTTTCATCTAATGAACTTTTTTGCTTTATTTTTTAAGAATATGAAAGAATCTTCTTTTTACTGAAGCATGTTCAAGGCAGTTTACAAACACGACTAATATTTTTACAGAATGTTATTAAAGAAGCCTCAAGGTATGTAGCTAACTAAAAATCTTGTAAAATTATGCTAATGTACTGTTTGTAGTCAGAGGTATGTCCATAACTACTATATATGTCTGCTTGAGACCCACACATTTGTAACTATCATTCACATTTTGATTAACTTATCCTAGAAATTAACTACACAAATGCTTCAAATTACAGGCAAAGGCCCTGGGAGGAAATCTCTTCTGTTCTAGTTCATCATGATCTATGTAGTTCTTGCTCTTTTTTCCCCCAAGCCTGTATATTTGTACAAACTCAGCTCTTTGCTGCTGCTTTTCAATTTAATATCTTGGAAGTGATGACTAAAGGTGTTAAAAGCAGGAAATTGATAAATCCACATAAATCTAGCAAGCTGGGGTGTTAATGTCCAGTATACTAGCTTGCTGCATGCTAACTGGCCATGTGAACCCTGCTACTTGCACACTAAGACTTCTGTAGTGTGCTCTGACCTACTGCTGTTTGAAAAAGTTCCATAGTATACAGTATCCATGTCCACACAGCCAGTTACTGTGTGGCAACCTGGTGCATGGTAGATTTATACCCTAACTTGCTGAGCAGTAAGTCTCTGTAGATAAACCCTACATGGATAAGAATGGTGTAAAATGGGAGAGAATCAGCCCTATTCCACAATGTGGAGCAATGCACTGCTGAAGGACGAATTTGAGTGTGCTTCCCATTTCGAAGAGCTGTGTATTGTAACCAGAACCAGTGGTTCTCAACCAGAGGGGTACATCAGTTCATCTAGATATTTGCCTAGTTTTACAACAGGCTACATAAGAAGCACTAGCAAAGTCAGTACAAACTAAAATGTCATACAGACAATGACTTCTTTACGCTGTTCTATATACTATACACTGAAAGGTAAGTATAATATTTATATTCCAATTGATTTATTTTATAATTATATGGTAAAAGTGAGAAGCAGCAATTTTTCAATAACAGTGTGCTGCGACACTTTTGTATTTTTGTCTGATTGTGTAAGCAAGTAGTTTTTAAGTGAGGTGTAACTTGGCGGTATTCAAGACAAAAATCAGACTCCTGAAAGGGACACAGTAGTCTGGAAAGTTTGAGAGAGACTGTATTATAAAGACTGTGGGCCAGAATGTCAATGACGTAACTCAACATAAACTCATTAACGACAGTGGAATTGTATATAATGCTCAGGATCTGGCCTTATATAGTTTAATATGGGAGCATCATTCATCTTGCTCCAGAAAGATGTCCTTCTACTCCTCATGTTGGCTTTCTCCAGAAGGAGCTAAATCCACACTTCCTTAGTCAGAGGTTAGATCGATTTAGTGGGTAGTGGGCAAAATCCTGGTCCTTGTGCTTGTTATAGATAGGATGTCCCTGTCTCTATAACCATGGGAACAGTTCATGGAGCACCTGCACAGCCCTTCTGGCCTCCATGCCTTGCTAAACCCTCTCATATGCTATGCCACCCATCCTCAAATTCCTCTTCAGAAGTGTGCTCTAGCTTGTAAGGTGTATGGAGGCCTATGCATAGTGTTTGCTTCCTTACTTTCCCAACACAGTGAAATTATGCCAATTCTGTTGGTGTTAGGATCTCTTGCAGCCCTTAGTTGGGCTTGATGAGTTGTCCATTCAGAATTAGTGTCTTCAGGATGCTGCATAGTTTCTTTCCTCATTCGTCACTAATGGGTAATGCTCCCAGTCAACAGAATTCAGAGGCAGTGACCAGAGTTGCTGGAGCCTTCAGCAACAAGCCCTGCCCTTTAGCTCAGGACACCAGTTTTTCTGCCTTTGATGGTGGAACATATTGGCAGTTCAGCTTCTCTTGACTGTTTTATTCCGTCATTTTTGTGCAGTAATATCTATACTCGTTCTTTGTTCTCCTCCTCCCCTGGATCTGGTTTTTGGCAGCCTGGTAGTTTCAATCACCTGACTCTGCCACTGCAGCATCTCCTCTCTGGGACTCCTCTTTCCATCTTGCACCCATCCTCCCCCTATGTATGGCAGAGCTATCCGGCCAACACTGGGCTAAATCTAAGCAGTGTTCTCAATATGAGGCAGCGTTTACAGGCTCTATAGAGGGTGAATTATGCCCTGCCTGTTCACAGCCATGTGACCCTTGCAGTGGTAGGGCACAGAGTTCAGAGTTGGACCAACATGTCTAGTCCTCTCGTCTGCCCTGAGGAGCCATGAATCCAGTGCAGAAAAGCCTGCTCAGGCACTCCTGAGCAGTTTTTAGAGAGAGTCTAAGGACATTCTTTGGCCCCCTGAAGGGGCAAATCCTGCAACAGTCCAAGGTCAATGGGTACAAACCCCTGAAAGGATCCAAAGTCCCCCCAGATACTGAAGTGGGTCCAGAGCTTCCTGACAAAAGAACTTCTGCACAGCTCCCCTTCCTCCCACTGTGAACTAAGGGATTTTTATGATGCTACGGAGTAAGTCTCACAAACCTTAGATCTCTGGGTCCCAAAAAGGCAAAAGCAGGTATTACCTTTGCAAGGTAGCAGTTAGTATTGAACAAGTGGGATGAAAATCAGGGTTAGACCCCTTCTCCTTTTCCTTTTTGCCCTGAAGGAGTGTTTTTGGGGGCTTTCCTCAAGAAGATTTCTCAGTGCTCATATTAAGCTCATAGCTCTTCCCCACCCAGAAGCATGCAGACAAGCCTGTTACTGCTGTGCCTGTGAAGCCCTCCCTCAGGCTGCAGTGTAATGGAAATTGTACCTGTTTGGCTTTCAGCCCAGGGCCCCTCGCTCTGCCAGGAAAAGGGGCTTGGATTTCAGGCATCAGCAGAATGGGAGTTGGGCCTTCTGTTCATCAGCCAGGAACGGGCTCAGAGTCTAAGAGGAAGGAATGGGTCTCTCTCTACCCCTCCCCTTTTTCACAGGCTGGCTCCACATTAAAGTGTAAGGGGCATTTCATGCTGACTGACCAGAGCAGAGGCATATGAGGATTCCACTCTCCATGAAGCTGTAAATAAGAAATCTCCTCCAGGGTTCAAAATAACTCCCAATTTACTGAACAAAGCGCCAAATTTTATTAGGTTGCCCCTTGGGTGCTAGCCAGAGTGAAGGAGCAAGCAGGCAACCTTTCAGGCTTCTAGGGACCTCTAACAAGTTACTTCCTCAATTAAATTAAGGTATTTGTACCAATACTCTTCCCTAAGTGGTCCTCAGGCCAGAATGACTATCATGCTACCTCCCTCTGTGAACAACATGAGCAAATACCACACATGCACCATCAAACACCACCCCCACCAAAAAAAAAACAAAAAAGCCTGCAGGATTTTGTAGGACAGGATGCCAGTAACTCATTAATAAAATATATTCCATTTCAAGCATTATTAGATACACAGCCTCCCATAGAAGCCTCTTTTGGGACATCGTAAAATCTGAATGAGGACTTCTGATTAAATCCAAATGTTAAACTAAAATGTATAAAAACAAATTTCCAAAGTTCGGTGCAGAGGTAGCTCCACCAGTTAAAGACAGTCATGTCTTCAGAAGGGGATTTTCTTCCAAAAGACACTGAATAATAATTTCAAACCCTCAGCTATATCCATTCAGACCAAAAAATGTTCATATATTTTTGTAAGGAAAGCCTACTAGGTGGCATGCAAGTGCTACATCGTCTAGGGCAGGGGTGAGCAAACTTCTTGGCCTGAGGGCCGCATCGAGTTTCTGAAGTTGTATGGAGGGCCAGTTAGGGAGGCTGTGCCTCCACAAACAGCCAGGCATGGCCCAGCCCCTGCCCCCTATCTGACCCCCCTGCTTCTCAGCCCCTGATGGCCTCCCTGGGACTCCTGCCCCATCCACCCCCCCACCCCCCCGCTCTTGGTCCCCTGATCGCCCCCACCGCCCCATTCACCCACCCACCCCCCCCCGGCTCCCTGTCCCCTTACCGCCCCGCACCACCCCATCCAACCTCTCCTCTCGTTCCTGACTGCCCCCGACCCCTGGATCCCTGCCGCAATTCAACCCCCGTGTTCCCCACCCTCTGACCGCCCCGACCCCTGTCCACATCCCTAACCACCCCCCGAACTCCCCTGCCCTCTATCCAACCTGCCCCCGCACTGCGCTGCCTGGAGCACCGGTGGCTGGCAGCACGGCTGCACCAGGAGAGGCAGCCGCGCTGTGTAGCACAGAGCACCAGGTCAGGCCGGACTCTGCAGCCCTGCCACCCAGAGCATTGTGTCACATGGCAGCGTGGCTGCAGGGGAGGGGCCGGGGGACAGCCTCAGGGGCTGGCCAGGATGGTCCCGCGGGCCGGATGTGGCCCATGGGCCGTAGTTTGCCCACCTCTGGTCTAGGGGTATGACTTTTTTTTGTCTGGAGTGAAACATCTCTGGTTTTTGACCTGATCAAGCCCTTGATGTGATTTTGTGAGAAGCGCACTGGCTTCTAATGTGGTAGCTACAAGGAAGCTGTGCACCTGTGAATACCAATCAGTCATCCTAAACACATACTTATAGGTGAGCAGCTGTTTGGAGAAACAGAGGAATTAGTTGCTGAGAATGCAGAGAAGCTTCAACCCTCACTTCAAAGCTAGCATAGCAATACGTTTTTTGCTATCAACATAAACTCTGTCAAGGAAAGGACTATTTCCCCAGCAGAGCAAAAATTCTGAAGGAGAAGCTTCCAAGGATAGATTGATAGAATATCCTCCAAACTAACAAAATCCTCAGCATGAAAAAGAGCATTTGTATATGAGAATTCACAATTCCTGTATAAGACTCTTCCTTCTGATCTACCCTCTGCATCCAGAGTCTTAAGAAATGACTGCTAGTAGTCACAGGAAGGCATAGGTCATAGGTTGTTATATCAGTCACTTCCTGGCAGTAGTCATCCGTAGCTAGTTATCTCCAAAGGCTGGGGTTTCTGGTGCTACACATTGGCTTCAGCCCCTTAATAGGTTAACCCAAATGTGCCTGCAGAATTTATTTTGTATAACAATTTTGCAGTGTATCATGTGTGCAGTTCCTTGTCCTCTAAAGGACAAGGAACTGCACACCTGATACA